ATGTTAAAAATAAACAGTAGTTTGTTTAATTGGTAGTTACGTCTGTTTCACTCACCGTAAAATTCAATAGTAAATGTTAAAAATAAACAGTAGTTTGTTTAATTGGTAGTTACGTCTGTTTCACTCACCGTAAAATTCAATAGTAAATGTTACAAATAAACAGTAGTTTGTTTAATTGGTAGTGACGTCTGATTCAATTGCAAAATTATCAGGAAGTTTGTGCAGGATAGACTTTCATTATTCCTATAATTGTCTTTAAAGTGATAATTAGTTGTTCATTGGCGCTTTATTAGCATCATAAAGGGTATCGCGACCAATCAATGAAGTTGTGCTTCATAATGCAAACTTTCACGTGCTTCTATACGTTGATGATATAAAATCTGTAGAAATAATCACCATAATATTAGGGCATTTTAAATGTTTCAGATATCAGTATTGTTATCATATTCATTATGACAATGGTAAATGATAATTCTCAAATCTAATATTAAATGTTTTCTGTTTATTATTCTTTAGGCATCAAAGTCAATCCAGGGTGTCCAACTCCAAACTGTGAACCAGGTTGTGTAGTGAGAAATATAGATAAAAATCACTGTCCTTCTTGTACCTGTGGCTCTATCTCTGATCCAAGTAAGTAATATTGACAATAGAGCTTCTATCCGTCTTGGAAAATGAATGTTAATTTACTAAATGTAAAAAATCAGATGTGTTACAAAAGTATCTGTATTCAAGATGTCTGTGAACTGCCGACTCAGACTCTGACAAGACCGAGTGCAAAGTGATGTTCGGGTGAAGAATAAAAATACTTTTATCTATCTTACAGTTTTCATATCGCATTTGTATAACCTCTAGAACAGTGGTTCTCAACATGGGCCATATGGCCACTCAGGGGGCCACGCTATGTTTCTAAGGGGCAACACATGACTGACGGAAAATTAAGGGGCCACAGTAAATTCTGAGTGGGCCATCGAAACTTCACTGCCCGAATAAAATAAAATTTAAAATTGAATCAAAGGTTCCCTTCTCCTCGTATCCCCCACAGTTCAAGTTACCAGACGCAACTAGTAGTCGAGTAACAACCAAAATGTTTGTCTGGTATCTGTGAATGTTTTCGACTGATTCTCATGATATAACAGCCCAAGCTAGATTCAAACGTGACAAACATTATTTCTGGATAAGCAGTGAAATAGCTAATAAGTTTCCACAAGTCTGGGATAAGGCAAAGTTGTATTTTATCGCATTTCCCACATCTTATCTGGTTTTAGTCGGGTAACTTATATGCTATCATAAATACGTAACCGCCTTGATGTTGTAAAGAGAGGTGATCTTCGCTTATCACTGACCACACTGCAACCGGACATTCAAAAACTTTCAAGTGTTCATCAGGCCCAAGGATCACACTGAATAAAATGTCAATGATTAACAGAATATTTTTTACTTGTATTAGTAAACATTACGTTACAAACAAAATATATAAAAACAATGCAATATTGTAAAAATAATATTATAAATACATTATAAATCAACAGTGTGGAAATAAAGTAACTTTTTTCCTAAGTAACAGCGACTACGAAGGGTAGGGCCTCAGAGATAAATCAAACTCAAAAGGGAGCCACGAGCAAAAGAAGGTTGAGAAACACTGCACTAGAACATCTGAATTGCATATTTACAATTATTTTCAATATCTCTGTATACATTGAATCTGGTATTTAGTCTACTCTACCACGAACTGAACCTTAATCAGTAATGTAAGGTATAATGAATAGTTGGTAACTCTGAAATCAACTACATAATAACATGTTGAATAGCACTCTGTAAAATGTGATAACATGTGCACTTTAACCCCACCCGTGCACATAGGACTACGTTTGTCCAATTTGTATAGTTAGTGATGTAGAAAATACCCAAATATACACAGCGTGGTCACAAGTAAATATACACCTAATTTTTCGTCATTTAACTGATTCATGCTAACTAATTTGTGTTCACAGAGCACTATATAAATG